AGTATAAGCAAGCTTGATAACGTCACTGACTTTATGTAGAAGTCTTCTTTACTCTGTCCCAGAGCAGCTATATAAATGAGATGGTTGCAAATGCAGCACGTGTATATATTTTCCATCTTCTGAGCCCTTGCCAAGAAGTTACCAGCTAAAGTCTGTCAGGGTAGGCTTCTTGCCACATGTAACCCTGTCATCAGGCTGGGTTTGCAGTGTGGTGGAAAACACGCACCCAGCTCCTGAGCCCTCCCTAAAACAGCATGATGCATGTGACCTGCTCCCAGAACAAGCTACTGCAAATGGATTCAGCAGCCCTCTGAATAATGAGCATTTGGGACATGCCAAATCACCATGGTGCCACCACTGTTGCTAGAAAAAAATTAAGAATGGTTGCTGTAGGAAGGTGTAGGATTGGGTCACTGATAAAATACTGGGGAATATATTTCTATAAAAGATGACTTCAGCATGATGTTTTGTATAGGACTCTGCCTAGTTTTAACTGCTGTACAGAATTCAGTCTTGAGTGTCTCCTGAGCTTCCACATGGGAGGGTGGATGACTTACCTTGGGGAATATTGACCAGCCTATTTTCTCTGTTGTTGGCTAGCTAGAAGGTGTAAATGCATTTAGGAAACATACCTCTGGACCCTCAATTTCATCTCTCCATCCCATTCAGTAATATCGTTGTACACAGTCCTGTAAATCAGTGAAAATGCAAACTTATTGTTGATTATCTCTAACTTGCCTTAGAGAGAAGTTCTTTTAAATGATGCTCTGCTGTCTGAAGCCACTTCTCCTGCCACGTTTGTTTCATGCTCGTAGTGGTGTAATTATCTTGTAAAGTAAGTGAAATGAGTATTTTCTCTTACATCCTCTATAACTTCAAACTTCCAACTTGTCCTTCAAATGGACTCTTAATTCTAACCTAAATGATCTATTCTGGTGCAGGTTGTTCTTCATAAGCTATCTTTCTCAAGAAACAACCATTATACAAGCTTCCTATTTCTGGCTTGGTTTTAGCTTAGGGGCTAAATGTGACATGCATGTGTAACTGGAAGTGGATTTAGGAATGGGAATGTTTGGACCATGCAAATCCTTTTCACGCCTGTAGTCTTCCACCCCTCTCGAACACATACACAGATTTACTTTTCAAGGCACCCCACTACATGATAGTGTCATTTATTTTTGTAAGATGACTGAGAAGGCCCAGCTGAGAGAGATCTGATGGTAGGAAATTTTGCTAGACCCAACAATGTGCAGAGAGGTTTTTCCAACATTTGACAAAAATGGCTGAGGCTGGTCTTCATTTACAGCAGAAATTGGATTGGAATATTAACCCAAACTGTTCAGTTCCAGGAAGGTGGCCTGAGGCAACCTTTAAGTCACCTCCTATGTCATGCTGCATGCCTTTGGACTGAGTATCTTGACAATATATATATATTTATTTTGTGTAGTTTAAATGCTACAGTCCATTTATTTCACAGTGTGTGGTGGTGGTGGTGATTACTAGAAGTAAAGTATGATGAAGTATTGATGTGAGGTTACAAGTAAGATGGAGCATCGAGGAAGGACGCAAATACAAGGGTTGCAGCCAGGCATCCAGGATTTCATTGTCGTTTTAACACTAAGCACTCTTTTGCCCCTCTATGTTCTAACTGTATTTCCAGGACAAGAGGAGATAGAAAGAGACAGCAGTAAAATCCAGAGAAACACCACAAATTCACATCAGCTGCTTGTATTGTTGCAATGGAACATATTGGTAAAAGCATTAAATAGCATAATGAAGAGTTGTGGGTGTGGAGGCTTTTTAATTTTGTCTGATGAAAACATCTTGCTGTATATTCAGAAAAATCCATGTGCTGGTAGATATTTAGATCACAAATGTTATTATGGATTATGCAGATCAGCCTCAGTCCTTTTTCATGCGTAAATTAATGCTTCCATTGTATTAATTTGAGCACAATAGCTGCTCAGGTACTGCCATAGTTAGCTTTTTCTAGCTGACATGAGATGTTTAAAGAACATTTTATTTTTTTACCTTCATTGCAGCTGGGTAAAAGCTGCATTGACATCAAAGACTCTCAGGAAAACGTGTACAGCTTTTTGGATCAATGCCTAGGGAAGCTAATGGAAATTAGCTCCAGCAAAACCCAGAAAGGGTTCAGTGTTTGTCTCAACTGTTTCTGTCCTAAACTACTCCCTTATAAATGAGCAAACACTTTTTTGGTCTGTACTATAGTTAACTGGTATTGTTTATCATACAGCACTTTTGAAGAAGGTGATGTATTATATGTGACAGGTTTATTTCATTTTTTTAGTAACTTTTTTTTTTAAAGTGGCAGAGCTTTTTTAGCTATTCATTTTGTTTGTCTTGGCTGTACTGCTTTGGATTGTAAAACAGGCAGACCTCACAAACTCACCAGGTCTAATCAGTGCCTTGGTGGAAAATGCAGTCCAACACCAGCTGTCTGATGGGTTGTCCATCTCTAACTCTTTCTACAGCTTTACCAGAAGCTTTTTCTGTTTTTCTCTTCCCTAATTAAAACTGTTTCTCTATAGAGTTGATGAATAAGTTTGATAGACAAAGGGAGAGTGAAAGGTAGATCAGATGATAGGCTATGCTCTATAGATAAGCTACAGCTCAATTAGAATTAATTAGCATGGTGTAAGAAGAGGGTAAGTGTGGTGACTCAACACAAAAGTTCAAGCTAGCATGATCGTAAACTTATTTAAAGTTGGTTGTTAACATTGATTTAGTAGTAAGATTTCAAACTTTTTCTCTGTGTGCATACACTTACGCATTCTGAAAGGGCATACATTTTTTATATGTCGGACCACACATTCATACTATGCATTTCAGGAGAAGAAAACTTAAGATATCCTCTACCTGTGTGTGAACTGAAAGAGAATGTTTTGGAAGTCCTTGGGCAGCTTTGGAGATGCAAAGTACTAGAAAGGGAAAAAGTTGTTTCACTAAGTAACTGTCAGTGTCTGTGAATATTTATGTAATTATCTTCTCTACCCTTCTCCTGTGATGCCCTAGTTTTCATCCAGAATTTTCAGAGAAAAATCTGTCTGTTCTTATACATGAATGTTCTTCATAGCGGTGTGTGGAAGATTGAGTATTGCTGTATTGCGCATACAGGCTGATACAGAGTACTTTCCACTGAAGCTTATCTATCCCCATTTTTGTGCTGACTCAGACTGACTCATACACTAGATATAGTTCTGACTGGGGCTAACATTCAATTTACCACAAATCTACTTTGCAGTAATATGTTAAAATTGTATTTTTATGCTTGTAACTGTCATTTATTTGAAGTTTTGTCACTTTATAATCTAGCAGTTGAAACATTTGTTTTGATGCTTACAGAACTAGCAATTTAATCATCTAGGAGTATATTTTTTAGGTCTGTTTTGAGTATGTGTTTATGTTGTTTCAGGTATCTGAGCGTGAATTCTGGTCTGGCTGCAACTATTAAAGATTAATTACTGCTTTTTTTTTTTTTTTTTTTTGATGCTGCGGTCAAAAGACTTTTTCTGTAACATAACCATTTATGATGTGAAGGCTGAGCAGCTCCTGAAATTTTCCTTGGTTCCCATGCCCTGGCAAATGCTCATCACTTCACACGAAGCATTCAGTCTTTTGCAGGTTGAGGCACTATGTAAAGAGGCTTTCAGCCTAGGGCCATGATGAACAAGATACTTTTCCTTATGCAGTAATGAGACAATGTTTCCTTGTGAAGTGCTGTAATGCTTTTAAACTCATTCTAACAACTGAATATTGGAGGAAGCTAAAACTTTCTTATCCTTTTTTCACCATCTTTTTGCAGCCTCTGTGCTGCACTCACACCTCAGATGATAGTGCAAAATATAGATTACAAAATATGTGAACCAGTATATGGTGGAGAGAGACATACTTAATTTGTATTATTAGAATATTAGTAGCAAAAACTTTGTAACAGATACTTATACTTCTCAAATATGAGCAGTAATATTTGCACTGAGAAAAAATTTGGGATTGCATGTGTATTTAAATCTTTTTTTCTATGGAAGTATCTCTTTATTAAGATCAATCAGTTCTGATCTGACTCTAGAATCTTTCGGTGAAGTCTTATTAATCAAACAAAGCATTTAATGACTTCTGAAGTTGTTTGATGCTGTTTGTTTTGTACTGAAGTGCTTTACCTCCATATTGCAAGCCACTGGATAGTATTATCCACCCCAGAAGCATGTCCTTAGTGTTTACGTCCATCAGCAAAAATTCATCAAGGAGTACATTTAATAAGAAAAGAATTAAGACATAGAATGTGTATGACTGTGTCCAGTTCTGGTCTCCCCACTACAAGACAAACATGGACATGCTGGAGTGAGTCCAGCAAAGGGCCACAAAGATGGTGAAGGGATTGGAGCATCTGCCATAAGAGGAGAGGCTGAGAGAGCTGGGACTGTTCAGCCTGGAGAGGAGAAGACTCAGGGGGGATCTTATCCATATGAATAAATACCTAATTGTAGGAAGGAAGAAGACAAAGCCAGACTCTACTTGGTGGTATTTAGTGACAGGACAAAAGGCAACAGACACAAACGGAAATACAAGAAATTCCATTTAAACATAAGAAAATCTTTTTTACTATGAGGGTATGGCACAGGCTGCCCAGAGAGGTTGTGCAGTCTCTGTCATTGCAGATGTTCAAAACTCGACTGGACACAGTGCTGAGCAGCCTCTTGTAGCTGACCCTGCTTTGGTGACCTTTCTAGGTAACCTCCGGAGGTACCTTTCAACCTCAACTACGATTCAACACTGCTTTCGTCGCAAAGTCTTACCCAAACTTAAATGACATTGGTGGAAGTTCTGCTAGATATTTTAAAAGCTTTGGGATCTCTTCCATAAGGATTTCAACTTCTGGATAAAAGTTGTTTGTTGTAACTACAATGTGTTTTTCTAACATTGCTTGAAAAATTGTAGTGGTTGTTAACTTCATCTGCACCTTTTGTTTTGCCCCTCAGGACCGTTTATTCTCACCAAGAATTCGTCGTCGACTTCATGCTGTCTTAGCATCTGTTAGCACTTCAATGCTGATTTTATCAAATCTCATATTTCTTGGAGGAAGTCACGTTGGAAAAATCTACTGGAACAGGATCTTTATGGAAGGCAAGTTTATTTTTATGTGCTTTCTAGATAACAGAACTTTCCAAATATTACCTTGGGTGGGCTGAGCCAGGTTCTTCTCTTGCTGCACTAACTGGGATTAACTTTTCGTTCCTGTTCAAAACCATCAAAAATCTTTCTGACAAGATCTAAATAACTGTGCAGTCTGTGTGACTACAAAGAAACATTGCCTTTCTCCCATCAAGTCTAGAAAGAGAGTTATCAGACATCTGTGTCAGTGAAATCACTGACATAATAAATGAACGTAATAAATATGTGACAAGTTGGGCAGGTTGGATTTTTTTTTTTTCAGCTCTGCATTTCATGTACATCAGTAAGAATAGTAAGCCAACCCCATAGATTCTGTGGAAGGTTAGTGAATGAGATCTTGTCATGGTTTAACCCCAGCCAGCAACTAAGCACCATGCATCTGCTCACTCACTTCCCCCCCACCCAGTGGGATGGGGAAGAGAATTGGGAAAAAGTAGTAAAACTCATGGGTTGAGACAACAGTTTAATAGAATGGAAAGGAAGAAAATAATAATGATAGTAATAATAATAAAATGACAATAATAATAATGATAGAATTGGAATACACAAAAAAGTGATGCACAATGCAGTTGCTCACCACTTGCTAACCGATGCCCAGTTAGTTCCTGAGCAGCGATCCCCTCCCCAGGCCAACTCCCCCCAGTTTATATACTGGGCATGATGTCACATGGTACGGAATACCCCTTTGGCCAGTTTGGGTCAGCTGTCTTAGCTGGGTCCCCTCCCAACTTCTTGTGCCCCTCCAGCCTTCTTGCTGGCTGGGCAGGAGAAGCTGAAAAATCCTTGACTTAGTCTAAACACTACTTAGCAACAACTGAAAACATCAGTGTGTTATCAACATCATTCTCATACTAAATCCAAAACATAACACAATACCAGCTACTAGAAAGATAATTAACTCTATCCTAGCTGAAACCAGGACAGATCTGCATGATACAGCATAATTGAGCAATTAAGGTTTTATTGTAGTGGATCTGTTGTCAGGGTAGGGGCCTTCTGACTTGTGGACAAGGTTTGAGGACAGAGAACTTGGGTGACAGTATCAGCCTGTGGTGTTGCTGAATAAGCAGTATGCAGTGTTGTGCTGTGAGCTGACTCAGGAGACAAATTCAGCTTTAATTTTTTTGCCAGAGCTCAATGTAAGCAGGACCAGTTTTCTTCTTAGGTTCTTATTGCTGCCAGAGGCCCACATTGCCAAATAAAGGTCTTGTAGACAAATTTTTCTTCCTCATGAGGGAAGTACTAATAGGCTTCTGTGCCTAGAAGCGCTCTCCTACAAAGACCACCACTGTCTATTGCTCCTTCATGCAGTGTTTTCTCCTCTTGTTCCTTGCAATGGTTTAGAGTCAGCTCTGGAGTTCCATGGTCCTACTTAAGCATCCCAAAATAATGACACTATTAAAGAGTAAGTTATGTACATAAATGGAACGATTTATCTTCTGAGCTCAAGCAAAAAAAAATATTTGAACAGCCCTAAGAAAGGTACATTTTTAGCATAAAATATAGAAAAGCTTTTTGTTAATACTGGGCAGGGAAGATGGGGTGAAATAGTTGCTTATGTTTGGTTTTTGCTCTTAAAACATGAAAGATTTGTTTTCTGTTTTCTTAAAAAGGCTTCTTTTTCTCTTAAATTGTTTCCTCCTGGTTAGTTGGCTAGTAGTTTCAGTAGAAAAAAAATAGCTGAGAGAGTAAGTTTGGAAGTAAAGTTAGACATCACTTCTTATGTAGTAAAAAAAAGCACTAGTGAAATTGTCCACTTCAGGCTTATAGCTTTGTGCAAATTATTTTCTTAATGCAATCTGTATATTATAAATGGAGAAAGTATGCCTTCCACTTCAGAAGGATTAGCAGTTGGCAGAATGCTGGGGTTTGCATCTGATGAAGGACAATGTTTTAACAAGTAGAATAGTATTTAATTAAACCAGATCAATTATTGATTGTTTTTCTAGGTATGATTTGGTGTGTGGTTTTTTTTTCCTTTGGTCTGTTGTTTTGCACATAACTTGAGTACATACAGTTACTTCAGTATTGGGTACCAGGTGTCTAAGATAAGAATAGCAAATTAGTTGAGTCATTTGCAACTTTGTTTCTATGATGTGTTAATCAAATTAACTTCACTTTTAGAGCATAAAAGCTTTTGCTTAGTGTAGCTCATATTCTACTAGTAGAAATCTCAGTGTTAAGCTTTATATGCCTGTATCCTTAGATCACACACATGACTGAGCATATGCTATTACTGCATTATGATTCTGACAACTCACATGTACAAGCTGAAACATCCGCTAAGACTTTATTGCATCAACACTCCTGCTCCATTGTGGTTTTCCTACTCTGGAACAAATGCTGAGCATTTAAGGCCAGTCAAATCCAGAAGGATTGTTCAGTACTATGGTCTTCAATTTAAGGTAAATTTAAGTGCTGATCTGTAAGAGATGTAGCAAAAGTCTACACATATATTAGGAGAATGCAATGCTGAAAGGTAAAGATAAATAAATTTGTGTATCATCTGCACTGTTCTGGTGAATCCAATTCATCAATATATTCAGACCAAACTAAATACTACAATATATACTCTTTGATCATTCCTTTGTCAGCCCAAGGACAGATGAGATGATCTAGCTGCTTGTCTTCAACTGAAGTTTTTGTCATTACCTTCATAAAAAATTAAATGGGGATATGTTTGAAGAAGTAGGGGTGGTGGTAATGGGTGAATGTTCTGTGGGGCAGGAGGGTGTTTGTTTGGGGTTTCTATTTTTACACTTTTTCTGGTGTGATGCAAGCAATATAAAGTTCCCATGCATGAAGACTTTCTCTTGTGCATTATGATGTTGAAGAGCTTTGATTAGAACAGATGTTGACCTCCCATCAGTATCTTGTGAAAAGTAGTCAAGAAATCTGGCAAGGGACCCCCAAACCTCTTCTCTATGTAATATCCAAATCTGTGTCCTTGCACTTTGTAGTGCAAAACAATGTTATAATGTCCAGTACATTACTAAGATCTGCTAGATATTTATCTGGTTACTTTGAGTCAATAATTGTTAGCTTTGGGTCGAGAAGAGAGAAGATACTTGGTGAATTTCAGGTTACAATATTAAAAATAATATTCTTGCTCTATTTAAAACCTTTTTGATCTGTTCGAAATTCATCTTAGTTTAGGAAACCTAAGCAGGGTTTTGCACCACTCTAAAACCAAATCTAGAGAGTAGACATTTGCATTTGGAGGACACCTCTACATTCTCAGCAACCTGGGCAGCAGGACTTGAGATTGGTTGACCGAGGTGGCAGAGGGCTCTGCAGCAACAGTGTGACATAAAACCCCTCTGAGGTAAGGAGTAGAGATCAGGTAAGGAATAGAGCGCTGTGGAAACAAAGCTGTCCACCTGCACATCAGCTGCAAAGAATATTCAGTTCCTTTCCTGTGTTCAAATCCCACAGAATTATGTCTAAAAAGACTTGTATGTATACAAGTAGGAAGCAAATAGGAGAATAGATGTGCATTTCACAGTTTGTAAATATAATTGGCATTTGTAGATCACTAACAAAATTAGTCAAGAACATATGTGTTAAACTCAAGCAATAAAATGCACCTCAGAGCAGAAATCAAATGTCCAGGTTTAGGTGCAGCTTTTAGGTGTTGTGCATGGCATTTTCAGGTCTGGCAAGTAAATGAACCTGAGAATATTAGTATTTTAAAACCCTAAATGCCCAACATATAGCACTTTTTGTAGTCAGAAATCAAGTCCTATTGTATAATATCTAAAAACGGTGCTTGGAGAGCAGCTTCCCATTAGCATGTGTGTGACAGAGAAGCAAATTTGAAATGGTTAACTCTTAAAAGGAAGTTTTACTGAGGTTGAAGAGGTACAAAATGCACTTCTAGTTTTGCTCTTTGGTTACTGAAGAGGATCTACTGTCATCTTTTGCAAAGACCGAGTATTATCAAAAATCTATACAGTTGTCTGAGAGTGGGGAGGAGAGGACATGGGTATGAAAGTTAAACCCCAGGACAGCATAGTCAGTGCAAGGAGGACCATGTAAGTGAGCTACCTTTGTCATCAAAGCTTTGTGGATTGCTTTCTAGGAACAAGATTTAGATGAGGTGGTTTCTCACATGTGGTAAGCTTTGGATGCTGCAATGCCTCTTGCCATGCCATAGTTACACCTTTTCTTTTCCTGGAAGTCTTGCTTGACTGATATTTGAACTGGTTTGCAGTGCCTTGGCAGTGCTTTCCACAGCTCCCATACCACTGTCAAGGAGAATTTATATTTGAGCGTGCCAGGTTGCAGTGTTTTTTAGTGTTTGCTTTCCTCTTGTGAAAAACAAATAAAATTTATCTGGCTTCAGAATGAATTTCTGTGCATCATTGAAATCACCGTTGTCAAAATTATGAGAGCGGGGGGGGTGTGTCTTATATGTATGAGTATTCTTAAATTTGTTCTCAAACTGTTTGAACCAGCCTTACTGCTTTTTTCTAAAACTTAACTTGGCACCATAAGTTATTTACAAAGAAAAAAAGTTCCTACAGCAAGCATTTGACTTTTTTTAGTAAGGCTTTTCTCATGGGAAACAGTGTTGTTCTAATAAGAAAGCAGGAGAAATGTCTTCTACATAACAAACTGGGTTTAATCCTGTATTCAGAGTAATTAATTGCTACTTCACTTGAAAATTAGAGCCTCCAACGAGGGGGGTTCTCTTTGGAAGGGCTCTCTCCTGGGACTCGCACTGTGCAGTGCTTTTGGTTAAGAGGCTGAATTACCTTAGCAAGCATGGCCAAAGGCATTAAGCTGGGTGGGGACACAAGTATATCGGGTGATAAAAGTATAAAATGCTTCCTGCTCTTTCTCTGGTTTGTGAGGGACAGAGCCCAGATCAATGATGAAAGCGCACGGTGCATGTCAGGTGTATTTTACTTTGAATAGCTGTCTGAAAATTGGACAGCCATCATTTAACT